TTAGATGTTTTTAGATGTTAAGACAATTTCAGTCTGTTTACTAGCCTAATAATATACATGGAACAATTTCTCAGTTCTGATTGGTTAAGATGAATGCAGTTTTCAGTTAATTCTGTGCAGAAGAGAGTTAATTCAGAGCAGAAGAGGGTTAATTCAGTGCAAAGAAAGAAACAAACCAGACATTCTGATTGGTCAAAATGATTGGTCAATGTCAATGTCAAGGTCAATGTCACTTGCAGGGTTTGAATAAATTAGTTTTGCACCTGATGCACATGCTTTTCTTCTGGGTAGTTATGAGAAGCTACCTCGTATTTTTTAATGTATATTTATTAATACATAATCACATTATTTTCTCATACAATTTGGAATAAATAAACACTTGTAATTTTTTTCAAAGACCACAAATTGCACTCACCCTTTGGGCTCATGTAATTTTGTTAGTCTTCGAAAAAATTTACTCGTGCTTATTTATTCCAAATTGCACTCGAAAGCTAGTGGAAATTGAAAACCACTTGCCAAAACTGAATTTCTACTACTCTGTGGCTAGTGGGCTACCGTTAGTGTCAAGCCCTGTTATTTACCTTAGTGTGTGGTACGATATACTAAATAATTATAAAATATTGTTTATACACTTATTGACTGGTTGACTAAATAAATATGAAATATAACATTCACTATGTCCTCATCTGTTACTTTATAAATATAAATTGATAGTTATTAAATCTCAGCTTCAGACCAAAGACCATTTATTACCTGCTGACCAACAGAAAAGGACTGGTCAAAAAAGAAGTGGGTAAATTCCTCTGCCATCTTGTTTGTATCATAAGCATCTTGATTACTCCTTATGCCAGAAAAAGAGATGCACAACATTTAATCCTTGAAGTCCCAAAAGTGACTGATATGTAACTTCTCCTTACAAAACTCACAAATCATTTAACAAAAACGTAATGAGAATGCTCAAACTTATCAGTTGGAAGTTGTTATCTTGATCTAACATCAAATTCTCATAACTAAGTTTCAAGGAAATGTGTAGCAGCTAGAAGGAAGAGTTACCAGTAACAATCAGATCTTACACAAAGGTTAACAATTAATTTTTGTGTTACAGAACCTTCATCAAAATGACAAGCACACAGGAATTTTGGAGAACCGCAAAGATACAATACATGTTGGTGTGTAGATAACAGAACAACTGTGACTAGCTTCTTGCAAGCTCTCCAAACTTTACAAGTGCTTTTAAAATACATTGCACTAATGCCAGATAAAACAGTTGTTTTGTATTACATTTTCAATCCCTGTAATAATTAAAAAAACTTCCACCAGATAAGTTTGAGTATTCTCATTACCTGCTTGCTGGATAATGTTTGGACTTTTTTAAATGAAGTTAACTGTTAATCACTGCTGGGATTCAAATGGTTAATGTAGATCTAATGCTGATATTACTGGATAAAAATTTTTAATATTTGCACAAGTTAAGCTCTTGTGGGCCACAAAGAAGACCAAGATGACAATGCTGCACCACATGTACATGTTACAGACTAGTAGTCTGTAAAGAATGTCACATGACAGCTGTACAATTCTCACAGGTGCATTCAATCTAGCATGGTGTCTGGGCTTATGAAACACAAGCAGTTCCAGAAGCAATTCAAGCCATGCTCCTGTTTTGTTACCAAACTTAACCCAATAAATCCCATGAGTGACCAAGACAGAATTCTTCCATACAGTAAATTGATACAATATCAAGTAGACAAGCAATGAGAATATATTAAAGAAAAATAACAATTAGGGGATTATTAATATTATTTATCCAGCTACAACTTCTCCAAACTAACATCATGAGAAGAATATCCCAGGACAGTGAGGAGAATTACTCACAAGATCTTGGAAGTGAAAGGGTAAGAGAGGAATTCCCTCTGCTTTGCTTCAAAGCAATTACTTACACATCATCAGCATACACAATGGAAATATGGGTTAATGTTTCAATCTATGTTTGTTGTCACTGAAGAATTTTTAACATTCATTTTTGCCTCAATCGGCTTTGCTATTTTGCAGGTAACTGGATTGTTACATAAATGTTTAATTTTTGCCAAAAATAAATTTGTTGTTGTTGTTGTTATTATTACTAACTGGAGTTTTTTTTAACCCTATAGGCATGGCTAAATAGTCGATATACCAATTAATAAAAAAAAAACTACAATTATCACTTTGCAGAGTATCTTTACTTCTAACAGTTTATCTTGTGATTAACTGTGCAATCCTAGTAACTTTGGGTTAAAAAAGATCATTTTATCTCTCAGGAGAGTACATGTGCTATTACTGGTCAATTTAGTGTGCCTGATGTTGCCCCATATTTCCATTCCATTGCATTCCATTCCATTGTGTGCCCCATATTTCCATTGTGTATGCTGATGATGTGTAAGTAATTGCTTTGAAGCAAAGCAGAGGGAATTCCACTGTACTACCTGCTTAATTCAAAAGTTTGTTTGAAATGAAATCATCCCAGTCTATTTGAACCCACAGATATAACTTATACCTTGCTTAACCTTGTTTTCTCCATTCACACTGTAAGTTACAAAATTATGCTTTTTTTTTCGCTTGGATTTCAGCTATAAAACTTGGTTTGTAACTAACATTACTGAACCTTGAACGCTCTTACTAATTTCAGTCTTGACATGCAAAGCAACTAATAAAAATAATCTAAACAGATGTACATTAATTTCTGAGAGTAATCAAAACAAGATTATTTACTTGGCCTTCTGAAGAAAATCTGCTTCAACTGTAATATTTGATAGGTATGATCCTTCACCAAATCTGTATGGAACAACTACAAAGAAGAAGTAATTACAGACCAAATGAAAATTCATATTCATCTTTTGACCCAATGAAGTAATGGTAAAAAAAGAGGTTTTAAAGCTAGAGGCTTAAGCACATGTAATGTGATATGTTAGAAAAATCTTCAAATTTTTAATCAAAGGTATACTTAAATTCACACACTTCACACTGATCTGATAATTTTCATTTAATATACCATTATGTCAATTAAATGCAAAGACTGAACATAAGTTCTTGTTCTTTAATATTAATTCAGATTACTAATAACAATTTAACAACAAATTATCCATTCTGTTCTAAAAATTTGAATTTTTTTATTATAACATCCTCATGTACACAAATACCAATCTGTTTCAGAACGGCCAAGAAGATGTAATTTTTAAGAGAGTAATACATACTGATAGGGCAAAGAGAGGTTGTGTTAGTCATACAGTCGGGTATCTTACCATCTATGACACTGTTAAGAGCTACATTGGTCCACTTCCTCTGAAATTGTAAGAAAAGTTATATTAAATTTTAAATCTCAAATTAAGATCAAATTTGCACTGAAGCTAATGAAAGAAATCCTTCCAAATCTGATGTTAGGTTTAAAAAACATCAAACTGTAATTTTTTCCAGTGGCTATCAAAAATGTCAAAAATGACAAATTCACCCAAAGTAAAAAATGTACAGCTTTACCTGCCTTAGATTTTTTTTGAGAGAGGTTTAAATTGTTCTTTCAAAACTACCTTGAATTTTCTACCCTCTCACTTCCAGATGTGAGGAATATGAAGAAGGGGATAATGTTTGATTTGATCACTGCCAAATTCTTACAAACAAGATTGTAAGACGTATATGGTAGACAGCAAGGAGAATTGATGTGTACAACTTGAGAGATGTTGGCGGGTAATGTACCTGGACAAGACTGAATCCTACAGAACCTTGTGGCACACCCTCTGATACTTTGATGGTAAAGATATAGCCCTGCAGTGCATTGGTCCGAACCTCGACATGTCTGACACAAACAGAAGATTACATGTAATTACAAGCCAGGGCTTGACACTAACTTTTCAACTTACCGTACTAGCCAAGTGGCTAGTGATGTCTTAGATGTTTTTAGATGTTACGACAATTACAGTCTGTTTACTTGCCAAACTGGCTGGTGGAAATTGAAATCCACTAGCCAAAACTGAATTTCTACTAGTCTGTGGCTAGTGGGCTACCATTAGTGTCGAGCCCTGCCAGCTATGAATATAATTATATGGAAATGATTGGATTTAATTCTAAAAGGAAGTTACATAAAAATTGATTGAAGATTACTAGGTCATTGTCACATTTGCTCATATGTAATTCAAGCAAGTAACATTAGGGGAAAGAAAAGTATTCAGTTAATGAAATCAGAGAACTTGTCTTCCTTGTCTTCACCTGCAAGGCTAAGGAAAAGGGGAAGTGATTGAGCACTATTTTTGATCAGCATTTCCACAAATTTTAGACAATTGTATTGTGATATAGCACCACTCAGCAAGATTTCCATTTAACACTATACTTTAAATTACATGTAATCAAAGAAAGCAATGGAAAATATAACAATTTATTTATTTGGGGAACTTAAGTTTTGTTTTAGAATAGTAGGGGGTTATGTGGAGATCTTTCCAACAGAGCATTTTTCAGCAGCAGTCCATAGAGCATTCAACTGCGACATCAGAGAAGATGGCAAAGGGTTTATAGATAATGCATGAATTTTAGAGAGAGGCAAGGTAAGGTTAGTCTTCTCTCGCAGCCGTTCTTTGTCTCGGGATCCCTGTGTCTCCCTCCCCACAATATGGGGAGTTTGTGGAGAGGGAGACACAGGGATCCCAAGACAAAGAACGGCTGCGAGAGGAGACTACGGTAAGGTTGGAGAGATTTGAAGTTTTCCCTTGTAAATTTGTGATGTGTGAAACATTGTTTGAAGAACAAGTAAATCATAAATTTGCTAGCCTCTTCAGGTCTCAGACTTCATTCCTCAGTAGAAACTTAGATTTTTTTCCCTTTACCCAAGCTTGAGAAAACATGTTTCTTTATCAAGTATTTTTGTTAACTCCATCCTAGTAGAGAAGGTTACTATAATGCTGAAATAATTACCAATTTTGAAAAGATTTCCGTATAACCCCATACCATTCAAAAACAAAGCCGTAATCCCAGAGGAAATCTGTTGTTTTGCCTATCCTTTATCCAAGAATAGAATGCATAATGAAGTATGGGGTTAAACGGAAATCTTGCCCCAATTTTATCAATACAGAATACTACAAGGAAATGAGTAGCAGCCAGTGGGGAGAACTCTAACTTTCAGATCTTGGGAGTTATACAGGCTTAACCATATCTGCGATCACTTTCTTCTTGCACTTTCAACTTCCGTTTTGAATTGAAAACAGAAAATGAAAGGAAGATCAAATCTTAACAAGAATTTGTAATTAAAAGTGTTATTTCCTTAAACTAAAGTTAAATCAGAGTATTCCCCACCTTTACTACATTCTTCCCTTATAAATACAAATATTAGCAGACATTAGCAAAAGACATGATACCGGCATCGGGAACTACACGTCACAAGATTCACAAACTCGACACCTACTTTACTCTTTCAGGGCTGAAGTCATTCTCGTTCACCACCAGACAATTTGTCAGAGACAATTTGTCCGAGGGACATTTTATCACTTTCATTTGGACCATTCTATCTGTAGGGAAGGAGAAACTTTTCTCAAATTTTCAATCACCAAGAGGCCGCCATTGGTACTAACTCCTGTACCCAGTGATGTCGGCCTAGTTTGGCGGAGACTCGTTCCAGTGTCTGTTTGGTCAGCAGTGAATGTCATCTACAAAACCCACTCTTTGTTATTTGCACAAAATTTGTCTGTCAATGTTACTTCCGAGTGGGCAAATTACATGCTGTGATGAAAGAAGGTGATTGAAAGTTTGATAAAGTGCATTGGAAGCACAAGCAAGAGAATTATTCGAAACTGCAATCTGTCTGAATAATACGGAGATTGAGATTTTCACCTGCTCTTCCCAGGCTCCTGAGGAATCTAGCACGGTGCGGTTTTCAAAAAAACTTTGAACTCTTGTAATTAGTTGAAGATCATGGCGACGGGAGGGTGGGAGGCGGCAGAAATCGCTGGATTTGTTGCTGTTGAACCCAAGAGAGACTGCCCGCACGTTCAGGTTTGAAATAAAAATTTTGTACATGTATTCGTCTAACGCTTCAGAAATCTACACTTTGGCAGAGTTAGAACCGCGCGCGCTTGTAGATTTCTTCTGATGCCGTCGATTTCTTTTGGTGCGGTTTGGTTAAAAATTAACGCATTTCAACAATTAGAAACAATAGTTCCTGTTCGAGAATTATACTGCCAAACGCTTTTTGTGTTTGTGAACAGCATAAATTTTTAGCTTCATTGCATAGCTGTCAACGTTGTTGTCTTAATTGATTAATGAAAAGTGTATCAGCGGAAGAGGATGGTGCAGATGTATGGTGTACATGACAAAATCTGCCCTCTGATTCTGAAATGTAGAAATTTAGCTTATCTGACTACTATCACCTTCAAAAAAATTTCTTCTCTACTGTAGTCAGTTGTTAAGATTTGACATTTTGCATTTCATCCAGCTGCCTAACTCAAGAAATTAATGATTTAATTTATTTTAAGTGATACTATTTACCTTTCTTCTCACCATTGGCTGAGACTAGTGGTCAAAAACCTTCAGTGAATCCTGTAAATCAGTGTGTCCTACTGTTACTGCCTGCATGCAGATTATGACTGAAAAATCTGTCACACTTACACTGCAATTAATTTGTAGAGTTACATCATGTTTATGGGTGGCAAGTGGCAACTTTGCACACCTGTAGGCAAAATAATTTATGTGGTAAGTTTTTTTTTGCCACTGGGCGACTCATCAGCCTAATGATGTCCTAGTTCAAGACTTGGCTCGGTCATTGTGTATGGTGTTCTTGAGCAAGTCACTTAATTCCCTTATATATTGCCTCTCTCCACTGTACCATATATAAGGACTGACAGGTGAACCGTTAGGGAAGCCTGATGAAATTTAATTTCATATTTTCATTTATTATTTCTCCAAACTGCAGCAGAATTAGATACAAGGTGAAAAGTAAAGTAAGAGATATAAAAATTTCAAGGAAAGAAAACTTACAATTCAAAATTACACCAGTTAAATTAAGTCACATTGTACATAGGAAGGAGAGGAGAGAGGCATGTCTAGATAAACTATTATGGCTGTGTCTCACAAGGACTGGGAACTATCTAATTCACGAATTTGATTGGCTGAAATCAATATTGAAAGCGGTTGAGATTTTCCCATCTAGACCAGCATCCAGACCAGTCTAGAAAAAAAAAGGTACAAAGACGCAGTAAATGGTTTGAACCCGGGGGTAACATGTGAAGGTGTAGTCTGATCGTCCAGGTGAGTGTAGTCCTGAGAAGGACTGTTGTCGGTGGTAGTGACTGACATTTCAACAACCTGTGCGGAAGTCATCATCAGAGTCAGGTGAATGATTGTTGTCAGTAGAATGTTCTTATTCCAGTTCGTGTGAAATGATCGGTTGGTTTTGCCGTGATGTTATTGGCTGTAAGACTCAAGTGACGTAAGTCGTTCGTGATTGGTCTGTTTCGGTCTGTCGGTAAAGCTAGGTTGTTCTTTTTCGGTCGTTTGTGATGTTTATGTCGTGAATGAGTCGTTTGTATGGGGCGGGTAGTTGTTGACATCTGTTTAGGGGAGTCTGTTCTAAGTTAGTAAACCAGCTTTCCAGAGTCAGTCGTTGAAAATAGTCAGTGCTGTAGGTTAGGCATTGCGCAGAGTCCCAGTCAATGTTGTGGTTGGTAAGTCGATGGTGTTCAGCAATGTGATTGCTGACATCACCTTTCCTCGTCGCCCGTCTGTGTTCAGTCAGTCTTGTTGTGAGGTTTCTGCCAGTCTCACCGATGTAGGAGGCTTGGCAGTCGGAACAATTGATCTTATAAATCGTTCCCTGTCTGTTCCTCGGTTCGTCTTTGTCTTTAACGTTGGTTAGTAACTGACGTAGTGTGGTGATGGGTTTGTGGGCGACGCGGATATTGAAGGGTAGTAAGATGCGCGAGATGTTTTCAGACATGCCTTTTATGTACGGTATGGTTGCTGTAGTCGTAGGGGTTGCGGTGTCGTTTGTTTCGGTAGTGGTAGTGGGTCGGTGAGTGTTTCGTCGGATGAAGTCGTTGTTGTAGTTGTTCTTCGTAAAAACACGGTGAAGGTATTTGTTCTCGTCGGATAAGCTGTCTGTCGAGTC